AAGATAATAAATATCTAATATATATGATAAAAATTTTTGGATATTTTTCAATGGTGATTTTGCTTTAAATTTTATATTAGGCATAATTTCTTTGACTTTAATAAGTACTTCAACTTTTAAAATTGAATATCATATACTCAATTTGGATAATTATAATAGGGGAAAGCGGGGCAACATGGCGAACGTTTTGAAAGCCCTGAGTTATTGAAAAACTATAAGTCGTGAAGCCATAATACTTTCTCAGTATGTTTATGCTATTAAATTCTTTTATTGCCTGCATGAATTTTCAGTTTGCAAATATAAAAATTTGAAATAAATATTAAAATAAAAAGTTTTGTCATCTGGTCACGTGACCGGGGCAAGATGATTTATTTTGCAATTTTTACCTCCAATTTTATAAAATTTTAAAAACTGCCAATAACTCTAACTAAAGTAACAAAAAATAAACACTAATTTCAAAAACTACTTCTTAAGAAGTTAAACTTAAAGGACACCATCCATTATGAGAAACTGAAAAGGAAGAATTTTTTTTAAGCGCAAAAAGTAAACTTATTTGTATAAAATGGCGTTAATAATATTTCAAAAAACAAATTGGTATTTTAAAATACAAGATGTAAATGCAGTTTCGTTTTCACCCAATTTTAAAATTTTTTGACTCAAGGCGGGTATTAATTGACTCAAGGCGGTACCATTTAACGTAGTCCTATATCATTCAAGGTGGTTCTATACAATTTAGGGTGACCTTAAACCATTAAACTTGTCTTACTAATGCTCGAATGACTAAAAGTTGTTTTCTCTTTTTTAATTGTATTTTAGTTTAATATTAAACTCAAAAAACAGTTATACTGAAGTATAAGTTATAAGTATATTACTAAGCTATGATTATATACCCAGTATAACAGAAATATATTTTAAAAACATCCAAGCGCAAATTGATGTATATTTATTCATAAAAATTACTTTTAACAACATAAATTTTTAGAAATCCATAACTTCATAATTTATAATAAGTATAAACAAAACGTCATCAGCAATGTTGACAACGTTTATACAAATACATTAATTAGATAACCTCATTAATGGTATGAATTGCGCATTCAAATTTAACATCTAGTGCAATATCTTTCTGCTATCTCTATGCTATCTTTTTAACTCGATTTCTTCTGACCTCCACTCTAACTCTTTCGTTCTTTTTAAAACCATTTGCTCTTGGTCTGCGAAGCGGGTTATGATTTTCTTTAGTGAGCTGAACTCGTCCTTGCGGACCTCGGTGATGTGTCCTCTGTAACTAGCTGGAAAAAGATAAACCACAATATTACGTAAGTTTTTAGAACTCCATAACTTCGTACCTCTCAACGTAATCTTTAAAATTTTTAGTTTGCGAGCAAACAATAACAAATGGAACTCAAAACAAGATTTACTTCTCGGGATTTTAGCTCATGACTTTTTGCTCTGATTATTTTAGTACCTAGTTATTTCGCAACAGATTATAAATTAATGCTATCTTAAAAAATTTTTTTAAGATAGCATTTAATTTTTAAAATAATGAATTCGAAAATCAGATATGTGTTGCCTGCATATTTTAAAAAAGAGTTAATTAATAGCGTAAAATTAATTAGTACTTAATAGTTCTCTGTTTTTTTGCATTTGCAAATAGTTTTCAACCAATCACAACCGCTCGAAAACAACGCATTAATGAAAAAATTTCATCGAAACATTTGATGTTGCTGGGGAAATCACATCATTGATTTCAAAAGGATGCCCCACTTTTCACAACTTAGAAATGGTAATACCTTGCGATAATTTGTAACTCCAGACTTTAGGCTGGGTGAATAAAAAAAAGCAATTGCTTTTACTCAGCGTTTTTGGAGTAATTGCTCAGCTTTACATGAATAAAAGTTTAAGTAAAAGCGCTCAAATATTTATTCATGTAAAGCTGACCAATTTAATTCAAAGACGCTGAAAAAAAGCTATTGCTTTTTTTTTGATTTACCCTGTTAAATTAAAGTCTGTTAAATTAAAGAAACTGCGTCCAACTTCTATAGTCATTTGAAATATTGTTAAGTAAAGTTTTGTTATATTTTATTATTTGAATAAAATTTAGCCAAAATTTTTGATTTGAATATAATTTAGACTTAAATGTCTAAATTATATTCAAATAAATAAAAACAAAATGACTTAAAGCCACTTTCGCTTTGTTATAAAGTTTTCAAATAGTTTTAAAACTTTCATAGTGTTGGAAATTAATTTCTATTAGTAAAGGCCGTTTTCCACAAGACGAAATATTCGCGCGAAGCGAATTTTTTCGTCGATAAGCATGCGCAGATTAAACAATTATCGCTTCAGCGTTTCGCTGCAGCGAAAAAAAAAGTCGGATTCATTTCGACTTTTTGCGAATCGCCATATGCGAAAACCAATCAAGTTTTGAATATTATATCACGTGATGTCAACAGTAAAAAAAAGCGAAACCATATTGTTTTTAAGTAAAAAAAAAAACAAAATTCTTAACCTAGCGTTATTATTAATTTTATATGAACTTACTCTGAAAATTGGCTAGCATGAGTAAATTCATCAAACAAGGAGCAAGGCTTATACAAAAAAAATAAATGACAAGACATATATAAAACTAAATCGAGAGTTTACAAATATAAATTTTCACACGGTCAATTACGAAAGTTACACTTCATAAAAGTGTTTGTTTTCAAGTGGCTACACGAAGATAAACCTTTTCGTGTAAAAACCTACATAGAATTAAACCTGCTTTTCGTTTTTGCAGTAACAGTTTTTAATAGAAACGATCATATCAGAGTTTAGCATTTATTTTCTTATACTTTCTTGTAAAAAAAACCTTATATTAAATGATTATATTACAAAATGATATTACATCTTACATATAAAGACAGAAATGTTATTATTAATGCACGGAAAGAAATTTTAACATGTTTCAAAGTAGAAAGTGTGCTAAAAAATGTAATAACTGCCTTTAGTTAAACATACACCATAAACTTATTGCTGCCATTTTTATTGTTGACAACGAAAAAAAAGTAGCGCGAAAGAAAGTAAGTGGAAATCAAAACAGCGTTTCGTTATAGCGAAAAAATTCGCTTCGCGCGAATATTTCGTCTTGTGGAAAACGGCCTTAATATTGTTATAATGACAATAACATCAATGTCATTATAACAAATTGTTGTTAAAATAAACATTCAAATATATATTAAAAGTAAAAAAATGTTAAAACTTAATCATGATCTACTTCAGGATCTTTTAAAACTTCATTTAATAAAACGTTTGAGTTGAGAAATACTTTTTGCTTTTTAATCAGCTTTTGTAGACAAAACGTTTCAGAATTCGACAAAAGTTCTCAATAGGCCGAGCATCTGGTCCATTTGGATAATTTTTAAACTTTAGAATACAACTAGTGTTTGCGAACCCAGAAAGTTAAATACATCATTTGCATAAGTGAAAACTTGCAAGATCAGGCTAAAACAGGTAATCTCTATATTGTGATGCTTATTGATTAAGGTTACTAAGGATATTCAATGGAGATATTGAGTGGTTCCAATAGGTGTGCTGTTAAAAGCGTTCTTAGATTGTAACTGCAACTACAATAAAATCTTGTCCTATGAAAATGAGACAGTGGAAGGAACAAACATCTTATTTACAAAATCCACTTTTAACTTTACTCACTGAAGCAGCTTTGCCATGAGCAATGTTGAACAGTTTTCTAAACTACAATCTTTTAATGGTGTTAATTACGGGTTACCAAGGTGTTGTCAATGTCAAACTTATTAAAGCAATAACATAAAATAAAAATTAAAAAACGTTTATATTTCAAGTGATGTCCTCTTAGAGCAAAAATCTTAACTGAAGCATGACAAATTTCATTTGCATTAAAAATGCGACTTGATCAGGTAAATAATCAAAATAAAAAATTATTATATATAGTTTTTTAATAATAAATAGTATAAATTATATATAACATATATGTTATATGTAATTTATCATAATGCTATCAATTCTGACAGCAGGTTCTGTATTCTAAATATCCTCTTCAATAAAATTTTCTATTGAGAATCCAAATACAGTGTCTTTGAAACGTTTTTCTCCAAACTCTGTACAATAATATTGCCCAGACTAAATTCTAGGCTTTGATTTTGATTCGTTGATAATTGCTGCTTCATATTTTTGATTTGGGCATTGTTAATCATGGAGATAAAAACTAACTTTGATGCTCGGTCATTAGTTAATTTACTCCGGTTTTAATGTGGATCCAAGAATGTCTAAATGATCTTTCAGCTGCTGTACTTGCTGATGAAAGCGATAAATTTTACCTATTAATAACTTGATATTAGGATCACATCTTTCTATCCAACACCTTTCAGAAGATCTTTGATTAACTGAATCCCATATGGAAGCTTTTTGAAAAATTTCCTTCTTTATCTATTATCAGCAATATCATCCACAATTTTGTAATCACATTCCTTAATCAAAGGATTCTTTTATTCTGAATTATGAAGGGTTTCAATGGTACCGACCTACAACAGTTATTTTTAATCAATTATTAATTCATCTCAAATATAAAAAATTAATAAATTTTTCAAAATGTTTTTGTTTTTTTATGTATAAAAAATAACACTCAAATAAAGATTAAATTATTAAAAAACTCACCGTTTTATCACCAGTAATATGACATTCTTTATATCACGGATCCTCTAAAATTGCAGCCTAGTGAAAGTTGAAGTTAAATAAAAGAACATTGACAAATGTATTAGATTTTGGCCAAACTGACCAAATACTTTGATATTTTTTGAAAAACTTTATTTTAAAAAATTCAATTGTTGAGAACATTGTTTTTCATTTAGTATGTTACATTGTATTTAATTTAACATCTTAATACACACACACAAACACACACACACACACACACACACACACGCACGCACGCACACACACAATATATAATGTTTATCATTTTTTAATGTCCACGTATGACTGATTGGTTATGAATTTTTTCCATCAATTGTCGGTATAATCAAAACGGGAACTTGAGCATGGTGCATGATATAATCACTATCACTGCTTGAGCCAAGAAGAGTTCGACTTAACTTGCTGACTGCTTTTTGGGCCATCACGATGACATTAACATTGTGACTTTGTGTTACATCACAAATTGTTTGTCCGATGCTATTTTGTTTGCGAGTCAAATAAGGACTAAACTTTATGTTTTTTGATTCGCACTTTGCTTTAAATTTCTCCAACGCTTTTTCACTTCTCGAAAGTCTTTTAAACGCAGAGTTGTAGCGTTTAGCCTTACCCTCAACCAACTTTTCTATGGATTTTTTTGGTTCTCCTTGCACGCGAACCAGCAAAGCAGTATCATCTTTCCGATGAAAATTGTCTACATACCAATCAAAAGCTTTTTCGCACTCTTCGCTGTTGTCAATAACAATGCAATTTATTCTTTCAGACATTTTAAAAGTTTATCAAAGTAAACCAAACTAAAACAAAATCGTCGCTATAAAATATTTTTATTCACTGACTAATTTTTTAAGTAATTACAACTTTAATTTATTTACCAATTCAATATTCGTATTTGTAAGTCATAAAATGCAAAAAAAGTTCATAAATAATAAATAATAATAATAATTATACTATGATACTACTTATAAATAATAAAATAACTGTATTATGATTTATACTTCCTCAAAATTAAATGTAACTAACCAAAAAAATCAAAGTCTCAAAGCGTGTTAAAAGTTAACAATATATATAATTCAGAAATGACAACAACATTTATTCTGATATATGTATTTGTCTCCTTCATTAAGATCTTTGCCTTTCAATTTCATTATTACTGAAAACGTAATTTAAAACTGATGAGTCTCTTCATCATTCATTACATTCACTTGATTCTTTGATTATTCCAATTATAACCATAAATATAACCACAATTGAGTTACAACACATTAATATATAATCTTGTTTTTGTATTCCTAGCTAAATTGTTTATTTACCAATTTATGTACATAGTATATAACTTTTGTATTAATTATTAATTGGAAACCTTTTCATTGCGTTCATACGTTTAGAGAATATATAATTGAAAGACACATTAACGTTATATTAATAATAGTATTTTATTATTACATAGTTTTATAAACGAAAATGAAAAAATACACTTTTTTTCTTTTCAAACTTTTCAAAAAGTTCATAGAACCGGCAGTCGTACCTTGTTATAAAACCAGAAGAACCGCTGGCTGTGATTACAATCCAAATCATTATTGCCGGACACTGCTTAACAGAAATAGTAATGTATGGAAAACTGAAGAATAATTTTAGTGGCAAACATTCATTTTGCGTAAACTTTGTCCAAAAACTTGAAAGGTCACCACATTTTAAATGTGCAAGACTTGTGTTCTTTTCAAATTTTGAGGCTCAAGAAATTTTTTTTTTTTTTTTGTTTTTTTTTGTTTTTCTTTTTTTTCTCTGTTTACATAATATAAAATTTAACAAAATAAGTAAAACAGATAGGGACTCAAAGAAGATAAGGATGACAGAACGTCATCGCAATCTTTTCATAGAACCCCTTTAACAAGATTTAATTAAAATATCGTAATATGACATACAAAATAAAAATGTCAATAAAATATCATAACAAAATGCGTAATCCGCTAATAAAAATTGTCAAGCAACAAACAAAAGTAGAAACAAAACAAAAACTTATTTTTTGTTTCTACTTTTGTTTCTACAAAAAAAAAAAAGAATTTATCCAAAGCATTATTAACAAAAAATGTTTTACCGGTTTTAAAGATTTCTTTTTTTGTTAAAAACTTGAATGAACTTAACGAACTCACCGTACCTTTGAACTCTTTCTGAAAAATATTCCATACCTTTGGACCTCTATATAAAATGCTGTATTTTGAATACTTATTTATTATCCTTGGCAGTTTATATGTGTTCAACATATTCGCTCTAAGATTATAGTTATCATTTTTATTTAACTCAAACTTATTATTAAAGCTTATAGGAGAGATATTGTGATTGTAACGATACATGAAAATTAAATGCTGGTAGATATTTATTTCAAATACATTCATCATTTTCATATCTTTCATCAAGGGATTAGCGTGTTCCCGCCTATTTTTAAAGGAAATTAAAATGATTCTACAGGCATGTTTCTGAAAACTATAAAGTTTCTTAAGCTTTGCTGTTTGAGTACTTGCCCATGAAATGTTTGCATAGCTGATGAGGCTGTGAATTAGCCCAAAGTAGATTAATTTAAGACTATTTGTATTAATGTACGAGCGAACTCGATACATTAAACCTATGATTTTGGTAATTTTTGACTAGATATATATTATATGAGGAAGCCAGGATAATTTTTCATCAATAAAGATTCCCAAGAATCTTATATTGGATTGCTTTTTAATTAATTTATCATTTATAAATAGGTTCGGCAACTTAAGAGGAAGATTTTCTTCTTGTGTTTTTTTATGAAAAAGTATATAGTTTGTTTTCTCGGTATTAAGTGAGAGTTTGTTAGCCTTAAACCAGTTGTTTACTTTATTTAGTTCAATATTCATGTCCGCATATAATTTCTTGATATCGTTGTTGGTAAGAAATAGAAAAAAGAAGGATGCATTACAGAAGTCATTTATATATATTAAAAAAAGAAGTGGACCAAGAATCGATCCTTGCGGAACTCCACATACGACATTTAACACTCCAGATTGGGCATTATTTACATATTGTTTTCTGTTTGTAAGATAGCTTTTAATCCAATAATAAGTTTTATTAACTATTCCGTGATGTCTTAATTTATCTAAGAGAATACAGTGGTCCACTGTATCAAATGCTTTTGATAAATCAAGAAATACTCCTAAAGTAAATTTATTATTTTCAAAACCATTAGTTATTTGATTTACTATTTCAATGATTGCATGCTCAGTAGAGAGATTTTTTTGAAAACAAAACTGATTTGGGTAAAAAAAAATTGTTTTTAATGAAGTAATCATAGGTTCTATTATAAACTACACGTTCGAATAGTTTTGAAAATACAGAAAGTACTGATATAGGCCTGTAGTTTGTAATGTCAGAATGACCATTACATTTGTACATTGGAGTTACTTTTGCTAATTTAAGTACATCCGGAAATATCCCAGAATTTAACGAAAACTTTAGTATATGTATTAGAGGTCTTTTAAGACTGTGTTTGTTTGCAATAACTATATTACTAGATATTTCATCAAATCCCGGAGCCTTTTTTTTTTTTTAATGAGGAAAAAGCTGCCTCAATTTCCTCATAGGTTAATTCATAATCAAGCATGATAACATTATTCGTTGGTTTAAGGAAGGTTTTAAATGATACAGATGTTGGTACTATTTTTTTTACAAGATTTGGACCAATACTTGTAAAATATTTATTAAATTCTTCCAAAATTTGTTTTTGGCTAAATATATCGTTGTTTTCAATAACAATTCGTTTAGGTAGAGAAGGTGAATTTAGTTTTTCTCTTCCCATTATGACATTGATGATGGACCATGTTGCAATCAAATTTACATTTGTTAATTTGATTACTGTAGTACTTTTTTTTTGCATTTTTAATGAGATCTTGGTAATAATATTTATAATTTTTGTAATTTTTTTCATTATCATTGTTTTTATTTTTCAGAAATTTATTGTAAAGTTTTTGCTTTTTTTTTGAGCACTTTAATAACGATTTATCCATCCACGAATTAGCAATTGCTTTTGATTTAATTCTTATATTCTCTTGAGGACAGGTTTCATTAAAGTACTCCAAAAAAAAAGCATTGCAAGCTCCATTTGTATCTTGACTTTTATATAGGTTGTTCCACGTTTCTTGATTTAGTCTATTTGTTAATTTATTAGTGTTACTCATTTTTAAATTTCGTTTTTTCAAATGTATGATTTTTGAATGACAATCAGTCATAGCTTTTAGATTTTTTGTTTTTATGAATACCGGGAAATGATCACTAATATCTGTCATAAATATACCGGTTTCAAATGTCGTTTCTAAATAATTATTAATAAAAATATTGTCTATTGCTGTTGCCGAGGTTTTTGTATATCAAAAAAAGATTTTATATTTGGAAATTTTGCGTTACAAAGAGCATCAAGATTTATGTCACCAGTAATATATAATGTTTTATTTTCTTTCTTTATTTTTATAATCGTATTTTTGATAAAAGTTTCGAAGGTTTTTATTTTTCCACTTGGTGGTCGATAAACACATCCAACTAAAACGTTTCGGTATTTTTTATTAATAATTTCAATGAAAAGACTTTCATAATTATTATTAGAAAAGCATAGTATGTTTTTTATCTTGAAAGCATACTTTTCCAAGACTTAAATTCCTAATCCTCCTTCTTTTTTCCCACCACCTCGTGGTTGACTAATTAGTTTGTAAAATGATAAAGTATAATTAGAATTTAATTCAAGAGTACTTTCTGTATCATGCCAAGTCTCTGAAAGAGATATGACGTCGAACGTGTAATTTAAAATATTTAAAAATTCTTAAAGTTTATCAAAATTTTGCTGCATGCTTCTAATGTTTATGTGTAATACAGAAAATGAACAATCATATGTTTTTACTTTAAAATCAAAGGGATCAATATACGGTGTGTTAATTAAGTTGATTTGAGTTTCTTGAAAAATATTTATGTTTTCTTCAGATAGATTATTTATAAAGTTGTCCTCAAAAAGATCTAAATTTAAATTATGAAAATCTAATTTCTCTGAAAAAAGCGACGCCATTTTTTAGTTTGTTTTTTTTTTGAAAATAACTAATTTAAAAATATTCAATATAATAAAAAAAAAAAAAAAATACTCAAAATGCTTACTCGTTGACGCATGTAGGATTAACATCTGTGTTGCGGGTATTTTCTCGAAATTCGTGAACAATAAGTTTGTTGTTATTCAAAAAGAAACAACTTTCGCAAAATAGCCATTTTGACGATGAATCTTCGCCTGATCAAAAAGTTCTTTTCGAATTTTTCGAGTTGTAAAACTAAAATCTTCGTTTAAAAAAATATTGGTTCCTTTTGATTTAACTGCTCTCTCCATAATTGTTTTTTTATCCTCGAAATCACGGAGTTTCATGACGATTGTTCGCTCTCGTTTATCATTAGTTGCTCCCACTCGATGAGCCCGTTCAATTATAATGTCTTTTTCAATACCAAGGTTATCTTTAAATAGTTGTTTTACCCTTTTTTTGTGTGATTTTCCAATCTTTTTCTTCACTATTTTCAACAATCCCATCAATTCTTAAATTATTTCTTCTGTTACGGTCTTCAATATCGACGCTTTTTAATTTTAATTCAATATTGTCCGAAGATATTTTACCCTGCATTTTTCTTACATTTGATAAATCGTCATGAACTTTATTAATTTTTTCCTCGACTGCTCTAGCTTTATCATTGAAAACATCGCCAACAAAATTTAAGCCAGATT